AAACAGTCCTCCATAAAATGTGCTGCACACATCTGAATATTTGGGTTGAACTGTTCTGGAACAGTGTTGTAAATACAACTTAACCACTGATTTCTAGTCGTGTCCACTTTTGGAAGACCAAACAAAGTAGTGGAGCGAGGAACGGCCGGAGGCTAGAGTGAGGAACGGCCGGAGGCTAGAGTGAGGAACGGCCGGAGGGCTAGAGTGAGCAGAGGCCGGGGGCTAGAGTGAGCAGAGGCCAGGGGCTAGAGTGAGGAACGGCCGGAGGGCTAGAGTGAGCAGAGGCCGGGGGCTAGAGTGAGCAGAGGCCAGGGGCTAGAGTGAGGAACGGCCGGAGGGCTAGAGTGAGCAGAGGCCGGGGGCTAGAGTGAGCAGAGGCCAGGGGCTAGAGTGAGGAACGGCCGGAGGGCTAGAGTGAGCAGAGGCCGGGGGCTAGAGTGAGCAGAGGCCAGGGGCTAGAGTGAGGAACGGCCGGAGGGCTAGAGTGAGCAGAGGCCGGGGGCTAGAGTGAGCAGAGGCCAGGGGCTAGAGTGAGGAACGGCCGGAGGGCTAGAGTGAGCAGAGGCCGGGGGCTAGAGTGAGCAGAGGCCAGGGGCTAGAGTGAGGAACGGCCGGAGGGCTAGAGTGAGCAGAGGCCGGGGGCTAGAGTGAGCAGAGGCCAGGGGCTAGAGTGAGGAACGGCCGGAGGGCTAGAGTGAGCAGAGGCCGGGGGCTAGAGTGAGCAGAGGCCAGGGGCTAGAGTGAGGAACGGCCGGAGGGCTAGAGTGAGCAGAGGCCGGGGGCTAGAGTGAGCAGAGGCCAGGGGCTAGAGTGAGGAACGGCCGGAGGGCTAGAGTGAGCAGAGGCCGGGGGCTAGAGTGAGCAGAGGCCAGGGGCTAGAGTGAGGAACGGCCGGAGGGCTAGAGTGAGCAGAGGCCGGGGGCTAGAGTGAGCAGAGGCCAGGGGCTAGAGTGAGGAACGGCCGGAGGGCTAGAGTGAGCAGAGGCCGGGGGCTAGAGTGAGCAGAGGCCAGGGGCTAGAGTGAGGAACGGCCGGAGGGCTAGAGTGAGCAGAGGCCGGGGGCTAGAGTGAGCAGAGGCCAGGGGCTAGAGTGAGGAACGGCCGGAGGGCTAGAGTGAGCAGAGGCCGGGGGCTAGAGTGAGCAGAGGCCAGGGGCTAGAGTGAGGAACGGCCGGAGGGCTAGAGTGAGCAGAGGCCGGGGGCTAGAGTGAGCAGAGGCCAGGGGCTAGAGTGAGGAACGGCCGGAGGGCTAGAGTGAGCAGAGGCCGGGGGCTAGAGTGAGCAGAGGCCAGGGGCTAGAGTGAGGAACGGCCGGAGGGCTAGAGTGAGCAGAGGCCGGGGGCTAGAGTGAGCAGAGGCCAGGGGCTAGAGTGAGGAACGGCCGGAGGGCTAGAGTGAGCAGAGGCCGGGGGCTAGAGTGAGCAGAGGCCAGGGGCTAGAGTGAGGAACGGCCGGAGGGCTAGAGTGAGCAGAGGCCGGGGGCTAGAGTGAGCAGAGGCCAGGGGCTAGAGTGAGGAACGGCCGGAGGGCTAGAGTGAGCAGAGGCCAGTGGGCTTGAGAACGGCGCGCCTGGCGGATTCGACGAAGGAGCGTCCGGAGGGCTTGCGGCAACCACATGTGACGACCCCGGGCTGGACTCCGCTTTGTCCACGGTTAAAGCCGATCCAGCGATCCACAGAGCCAAGTTGATGTATTTCCTCAGCAGCCAGCACGGATCAGCTCTAGCGGATATAGTCCTCTTTTGGAAGGCCAAACAAAGTAGTTTCGCTGAAACACACGGCAACAACAATACTACAGCGAGAATCAAAGTTACGCCTTCTTTCTTTGCGTGAACATTTGGGCAGTGTTATGCAAATCTTCCCACATCGTGACGTAGACATGTGGGGGCGTGTTAGAACGAGCTGTTTTAGGTAGGTGTGATTGACTCTTAACTTTTATAACGAATATCTCTTTGGATTTGAGACTTTAGTCTTTGCAACTT